CAAGTGGATGCAACTCGATTTGTGGAGATAGCTAAGAAGAATTTAACTACCATTAAGTGCGCACATAACAGCATGGAAACCATATACATATGTACTTATTTACAAACTTATTTATACATACATACATATGTATATATGTAGACCATACATGCGCCTATCAAGGATTAGTGCCATATGTCTACTTGTGAAAAATAAGATAAAATACTTCAAATTGGTCACACTATTGAAAATGTATAAAAGCCTCGTGCAGCGACGGGGCATATCAAAAGAATCTTCCCCACAAACTCTGCAAAGCTTGCATGGCGGTTCAGTAATTTTTAATTAATATGAAAATAAACATTACCTTCATAATACGCACACTCGAAAATAAATATTTTTCATACTTTAGCTCTGATCCACAAACTTTTCATGTGAAATCCTGTAAAAATGTCAAACAGCAAAATTAGTCTCTGAAGTGAGAGTAAAAAGTAAGTATCAACAAAAAACACGGGAACAAAAAAAGCGTTTTTCCTGTAAAAACGTCAACCAGTGAGTGATCGGTTGAAACTTTTCAAAATTTTACCAGAAGAAAAGGTTCGGGTAAAATCTTGCAATTTCATTCTCTACACAACTCTCAAAAAAGCGCTCTCATTTACCGGATTTTGGTTTACGGGATCATTTTTCCTGTAACTTCCTGCAAGTTCGTGTAAAAACCTGTTCATGGAGTACTGCATCAGAGCTTTTGTGTCTTTGAAAACCCAAGATATTTGTACCCTATAAACATTCGCACTCATTTTAGAGTCAGAAAAGTCTCAGAATTCTGAGTCGTAACCCTCATTATGAGGTCAAAGAAAAAGTCAGAAAGTACATATTCTCATATTCTCATATTCTTAGAAGGGCACGCCAATATGAGCCCAAGTTAGGGGTCATATTAGGGTCTGCAATATGACGTTTTCTGAGTCTTAAAAACAAATATTCTTTATAGTTCTGATTATTAATAAACTTCTACTTCTACGTGAACTTTATTAGTTTTGTTCAACTCAGAACTTATGACACCAAAAGAGTCCGAAAAGAGTCAGTCTAATTGACTGGTCTCAGACTCATATCTATGACGAAAGAAATACTAATTTCAGACTCAGAAAATTGTTTAAAGGGCAGAAGTCCAAAAAAGTAAAGGAGCAAGGTATGTATGTATGTACATTTAAGTATATGCGAGCACGATTTGGTAACTATAACCAAATAATGTAACTATTTATAATCAAATCAACTGTTCATAGAAACATATTTAGTTAGGGTAGGACTCTAGGCTGAAATGAGTGAACGATGTTAGAGATTTAGTGTTCTAAAGCTTTTTTGTAGGAAATTGAAATTTTTCTGGAGCTCTGGCTATTTACGAGATAGTGGTAAAAGAAAATAGTCGCCAAAAAAGCACACCCTAATGTGTATGTCTCAGTATTTTAGTAATCTTAATTTTAATAGAAAGCTTTAGGGTATTTAAAATCCAAACGTAAGGGTACGAGTCTGCGTACAAAAATATGTCGCGGGGGATTTAAATGAAAACTACACATTTTCTTTGTACTTATTATGCCTTTCTGTTTTTCTAAGTTGTAACAATTTTTTTCTTTTGCCTTTTGCAGTATGTTGAATGAACGAAAGCTGCACGCTTACTTGCTATTGTCCATAGTTGCCACTAATTGCCTACTCCTCACTTACGCTTACCCTCAAAATGAAGTTTACCAGCGTCAGCGTTTGCAGCAAGTACAACAGTCACAGCAGCAGCAATCGCCCGTTTATCGACCGGCGGAAGAGTTCTCTGGCCGCAAGTATGCCGTGAAACCGAACGCTTCGAAGAAAGTGGCGCTGGACGATGTGGAGGATGAAGGCGACGTAGTCAATCAGATAANTGGACCAGCAAACGCGCCCACCAAATCGGACGATGTGGATAACTCAGTCGGTTTCGGCGGATCACCCTGGGCCAATGTAATTTCGATGGGTAAGTGTTGAGGAAACAGAAAAAATATGAATAAAGTTGATCTAATCTAACATATGTACATACTTTATCACATTTTTAGGCTTAAAGATCATCAACACACTGCTGGGTGGTGGCGCTCCCAGCGACGGTATCGATAAGGTAGACAATGGTGGCTCACCAATGCAGGTACGAAGAAGTTTTCTAT